AATTTAATCACAATTTTAGTATCTGTGAATGAGATCATATTTTGTCATATTGCATTCCGCAGGGTGGAGCTTATTTTGCAGTTTAGCTTCAAAGGCCAAATTTCTTTTTTTTATTATTATTATTTTTTATATCTGAGCTTGGTCATTGTCTGTCACTCCATAACAAAAAGAAGATGAGTGAAAATGGACTATTGATGCTAATCCCCTCCATGACTGGCAGTTCTCAAACAAACACTTGCAAAATAGACATCTCTAGTTCTACGTGCACCAGGCTTGAAAGAGAATAATTGATAAGAAAAGCAGTGTTAGTTCCTCTGCAGGCTATTTGCAGAGTTAACCCAGCCATGGTGAGTAGGCAGAGGCCCTGGTTAGATACAGAACTGCTATGCATATCTGCTTTTCAGCCAGCCTCAGTCCAATGCAGGAAGACACACATCCAACTCCAGGAAAAGTATGTGATCTGTAATAAGCAGTGATGAGAGGCAGTCCACTGTGGAATGGATTTTTACAATGATATATTAAGAAATTAAAAATAAAAATAAGAGAGCAAGAGATTTAAAGCAAATAATATGCAGAAACAATAAACTCCTGCCAGAACTGTCCTATAAGTAACTCTGGAAAGGCAAATATGGAAATATGTAAAAGAACATGAAGTCTGGTCATTGAACTGCCTTTTTACTTACAAGTTACTGAAAATCTCTTCTAAGTTTCTATTCATTAAAAAGAAAACAAACTACTTAAATAAATACTAGAAATGAATTAGCAGATGGAGGTAAGATCTTGAAGGAAATTATTGTATTAAAGACCTTTATCTTCCTAGGAAATATGGAAGTATCAAATTCCATATTCTGCATTTTCAACTACTAGGACAACATCTAAAGCTGTCAATGACTTGCTACTCATCAGTCAATAAAAGGCACTTCAAAGACTTTAGAGCTTCTCATTTGCCAAAACTGTGATGCACTACACAGCCTACATAGAATGACAAACTATCTCAATGATAATTACAATGCCAGAGGAAAAAAAAAAAAAAAAAAAAAAAAAAAAAAAAAAAGAGCTTTTAATTTCTTTAGTAGTAGATATAAAAAAATAGATTAAAATAATATCCATTACAGTACAAATGATGAAAGAGACAGTTTAACAAAACCCATGAATTACAGAGGCTCCTGTGGAGCACTAAGGAAAGGGACAGCAGAAGAACTATGGGTATCAGCCACTGGATAAAACCCAGATATGCTTCAATGTCAGACACTGAGTTTCATCTCAGCTACAGCCAGTTAAATCAGATCCAAATGTAACTTGCTATGTCAAACAAATTCTGAAATACTGTGAGCTATAAAGTTACAGAAGTTACACAAAAATCCTTTAGTGTCTGTACAAGAAGATAAACTGAAAACTCAAACAGTAGTAAACAAAAAGAGTGAAAAATTACCAAATAGTGATGAGTTACACATCTCTGCAATGAAAATATTTTCACAATGGAGCCAGCAGCTAAGTATGAAGACCCAAAGCCCATTACCCATGTCAGCCTCAATGCTTACCCTGGATAAGTTCTGTATTGTGACAAAGACAGTCAAATGTCCTGTATACCAGGAGTGTGACACAGCCAGTTACAATTTAAAAGTATGCTTTAAGGATAGCTTGGTGCACAGCACTTTGCTGAACTGAGCCTCCTATTTGCAGATTTGCATTTTCCTTTCCGTTATAGAGTTAACATAAAGAATGTTGACATTACTGTGGCTCCAAAAAATAAGTCTAATTGTGACCAGTATAAACCTGAACTAGTTATTTTTCGTTTCTTTTTTTTCCCTAAAAGAGGGATACCCTAAGTATCTGAATAATGGCTACCGATACAAACCGCAGAACTTGATGGAAAATAAATAAATAAATAAATTCTTAATAAATAAATAAATAAATAAATAAATTCTTAATAAATAAATAAAAGCTTGAAAGTGTCAAAAGATATAAACTGATGTGAAACTAATGAAAATAATCAAGACATTTGGAAAGAGCTGCTGGCTCGATAGTAGGTGGCCTACATAAGACTCCCACACTCCAGTGTATCTAGACATGCTTTTGTGTTTGACTAATTAGTGAAACTAGAGAGAATTGATACTTTTGCAGTGACTGTTTTCTTATAATTAAATCAGTCTGGTATATATCTCCCATAAAGCATTAGGTCATGAAACGTTCATAAAACGCCAAACCAAGTGTCATCTGGAAAATTACAAATTTAATATTTAGATAGATGTCTTCAGTAAAAATAAAAATAGTGGGCTCTTTAATTTCACAGAAAAATAGTATCATAAATTTACTCTAAGCATCATATATTAAAATAATGCTACGCTAACAGGCATGACAGTTAAATAAGGTTTTAGAATAGAACTGTTTAAATGAATAAGTAATATTTTAAAATGTCAGTCTGTGATCACACAATGAAAAAAGAAAGCTCAATTTAATTAGCTTGGTCATTTGTGGCTTAAGTAGAGAAAGGAATTAGCATGTAGAGTAAGCTAAAGCTGCCCAAAGCTTTGTGTGGGTTTTAAACAGGTATTCATTTTCATCTCAATAAAAGAATTACTGTAAGAAATGCAGGCTTAGTTGGCACTTTGCTGCTTGTGGTTCAAGAGAGCCTCTTAAGAAACTGCAACACATTGCCTGGTATAAGTCAAGACTGGAACTGGAGAAAAAATACATCTTGAGAAAAACTTCCAGCTTTTCTGAGTCCACTTTATCTTGACTAATTTCTCTACGAAAGGGAAATAATATTCAGTTATTATTGTGATCTATTAGCAATAACTGACGTAGTCCAGTGGAATTGGATGAGCAAAATGGATGGCCTGTGGTAATACGCTAATTTCTAACTTACATGATTTTTTTTTTAATGCCCACAAAGTCAAGTCAAGTCAACATTTTCAGCCTTACGTAACTTGTTTACTATGGACTGAGATGCAATGAAGAAAGCATGGCCAATACAAAGCACCATCTCCAAGATTACACCTTCGCCTAGCATCAGTGCCAAGACGTTTCTGCATAGTATAGAAAAATAGATGGGGCCTGATATGTATTTCAAGTTTCCTAGTTGTCTGTTACTGAACAGGAAGTGAAAAGAAGACAGGATGGAAAGGACAAGGCACATACTAAATCTGTACCTAATCTTCATAACTAATGGATTGAAATAGATTACTTGTATTTATAAAACAAACTCACTGTTGCTTAGTACGTTTACTACAGTAAATGTTCTCTTATTGCAAATATTTCACTAATGAAAGCATTGAAAACTGCCACTCAAATTATAGGAAAAGCATGCTAACTGTTGTCAAGTACTTCATTTCATTGAAACTTGAGAGGAAAAGAATAATAACAGGTATTCTTTATTTGTGAGAGAAAGTAGGAAGAACCTGAAGTGCTAATTTTTCTGCCTGTGTAGCTTTGCCAAAAGAATGTAGGTGCACATACATTCTAAACAGTCAGATATTAAAAATGTATTTAGAAATTTGTCATCCTGTAGCTTTTATAGTAGGGTTTTTATAGCAGTCATGAGAAATTCTTTGGAGACAAAATGAAGAATACTATTCAGGTATTGCAGTAAGAATGTGAAAGTTTCTAATTTAATACAAGACGCATAATGATTCCAAACCTAACACCACAGATAGGAAGATCATTTCCAAAAAAGCAGGCATGTCTGGGGAAGCTACTGAGCCTAGGAAAGGATGCACATTCTGTGCTATTCTTGCAATACAGAGTGTAAGCCCAGCTTAGTATAGTTCAGCAGCATAGGCTACTTATTTGCAATCAGAACAGTTATCTGTGTTTATATTCATTCTGAATATTATACCATTGGAAACGTACATTAAAGACCACTTCTCCTGTATCTTGATTTAATGTAATTTAAGTCTACGCTAATCACCAATATTTAAATATGACATTTTGCAGAAAACAAATGGCATTTCACATGTTCACTTGAAACACCACAAAATACAGCACTTGTGAGACTAGGTATTCTCAGTTTAAAATAGCACACGGGCGTTTGTTGTGGAGTTTTGATTTACATGTGTATAAGCACTAATACAGTTTATTATTTCAATGAGATTACAGGAGTTAGGTTTTTAAAGAGTTTCACTATGATATTTTGTCTAATGACACAGAAATACTGGGCTACATCAAGAACATGAAAAGTGAAATTAACCCCCTTAAACTACATCTAAATGCATCAAATATCACAGAAAGCTTCCCAAAATATATAGCATGGTAAAGCTCACTCTTCTACAAATTCTGAAATCTCTCACATAACAAAGCTGGCTGACAAACACTGTGATTTATTAGTGAGGAAAGACACTCTTTCCTCAGTAGCATAACCAGTTAAATTCAGCAAAACTTTCAGCAAATATCTCTAAAACTTCATACTACTGTAAATTCAAGTCAAACAACACTGTCCTGTTTTAGAATGAAAACTAAGCCTGACAGTTCTCCTACTAACTTTCTATCCTGGCATAATAATGTTTCCCTGAGCTTACATACACTGACTGAGCTAGAGAGATTAATATTCTCAGCTGCACAGCCACTTAATCCCCCCCGTCTCATTCCATAACATTCACAATCAGCAGCACTGAATTCAGGTCTTTCTGTGGCCTTAAACACCATTCCCAGCTTTGTATAAGCACATGTAGTATCAACCCTTAATCGCATCCTTAGTTGTATGTATTATGAATACTTCCAGGTTAACCATTAGGACTTAAAATATAAAGCTAAGAATATCTTTACAGGATTGCAGTTACAGTCTGCAATGTTTTACTACTGAGTTCTCTAAATAATGGAGATAAGTGAATGAAATCTTCATAAAGCTTTTAATTACTCTTTTCAAGCATAAACAGCAGGAAAGATTTAAGTAAAAATGCTTGTTTATGTAACCATATATATGCAAATAGCTAAGACAGAACAATGTCTTAGCTAATAATAATAAATAATTTATATGTGCTCTGAAAAGTTGAAATGCTTACCCTTGCCAAAGTGAGTGTTCCTTGTTTACATTCATTGCATCTGACCCTCAGTTTCCCAGGTTTCACAGCTTGGCAGAAATTTTTGCAAAAAACATAAAAACTGTTGTAACTAGCTGCACCTGTCAGGAAGAAAAACAAACAAATAAAACCATTTATACTGAGCATCAGTAACAGAGTGTAAGGAAAGGTCTCTATTTGTATGTGATATATATATATATATTTTAATATTGATTTTAAGGCCTGAAGACAGCATAGTCTAATGTACTTAATGTGTTTGTTCCAGTAACTCCTGCTTCTTTATCAACACATAAAGGTGAACTACACTACAACTCCTTGAAAGTGCATCCAATCTTGAGCTTGAGCTTATGAGTGATGAAAACTGACTAATCTTTGGCAAATGATGTATGAGATTAATTACTCTGGCTCTCCATAATTTTCATTCTACTTCTAATCTAAATTTGTCTAGATGCAAGTTTAGTGAGTCCAAATTGCACGAAAATTTCCTTGACTGAAGTTTAAAAGATTCATTTGGTTGGTATGAGAAAAATATTTAACCTAGCAAATCTAGTTTTATTTGTGGAAGACTGGAAACAATTTATTTATTCTTCCTAATAGTGATATAACCTAGCAAAGTTTGTAAACTGCTGCCAAGTATGCATGTTGTTCCAAAAGTATTTCCTCCTATTTGTTTTCATGGGAGTTACAACAGATACAAAAGGACACAATAACACTATTTAATAGAACCAATACTCAGCTACAGAGCAGTACTTTGTAATGTGGTCACCATCATTAGTTGTGCATTTTTGCCAGAAATGAATGAGAGCCTGCATGCTGCACTCACAAAAATCTGCAATAGTACAGGTGAGCCACTGTCACTGTCACCACTGCTGAAACGCACCACCCACTGCCTCACTGTGCTCATAGCCACTGTTTGGTCTCCATCAGCATTCAATAAACGTTGATGAATGGCATTATTTTGGGACCAGTCCTTGTATAGTTTTACAAAAAATAAACTGAAGTACATTCTGTTCTGTGTAACTGCAGAACATGTAGAGAACTGTGTAAGCCTTAGGTGGTACTAATTATTTTGATTTCAACTGCAATCCTGATAATTGTTCTAAGCAAACCCTTTTTTAGGATGATTATTGCTATTCTGCAGAAACTGATGGGACTTTCGTAGCTGTCTAGACCCTTCAACTCCTTGTAGCCCTCCTCTGGATGCTCTCTAATTGTTTCATATCCTTCTGATATTGTGGGGCACAAACCTGCAGACAGTCCTTGAGGTGAGGCCACAACTCAATTTCAGCTACAGACAGTGAGATCAGAGCCTGTTACTGATTTTGGTATCACCGCTGCTCTTCTATTGCTCTGCATGGGCTTTGAAATCTAATTTGACTGCTTTATGCCTAGTTGTGTTGTAAGCTTGTTCCATCTGACCCAAAGATAAAATTATCTTATTGATAATATTCTGTAAAATATTTAGAAGATAGTACAGCATAAGTCATCATGACTGAATACTGCAGTAAAACACAGCAGTCATGGAAAAGGCCTAAAATGAGACACACTGATGATTTACTGCAGAGGATAAATCCTGAGCATTAGCTTGATATTTACTCCCTGCAAAAATAGACTACGTTAACTCAATATTTATTTTACTTAGGGTTTTTTTTTTATTATTTTGCTTTTTCATGATCATAAAAAGTGCTCCCTATACACATCACTCATGCAGAAATTTGAAATACAACAAGAAACAAATTTATAGTATAATGAATTTGAGCAGTTCAGCAACACAGACACCCAGAATAACTTATGAAGCATCTCCTACAGCATGGTTGCTGGAGAGGCAACACTGCAGGAGGAATGTTGTGATTTTGGGAGAAAGGAGGAAATGAATATTTTCAGCAAGCCAGCATTCTATGCTGACGTGCTGATCTCATTACCACCAAGTGTAGTTACTTTACTAAGTGAATGTCCTGAGAAGCATCACCAGGAGAAGGGAAGACTGAAATAAATATACAAAGGCTAAATGATGTCATAGCACACAATACTGATGACATGAATTAAAGTCTTTACTGACTTGTTAATATCAGTTTTACCAAGGCCCTTCACTGAGACCGTATCCCCTTGAACAGTTTTTCAGAGGGGAACTGAAAGAAAGGACAAATGAATCTGCAAAGAAAAGGAATCAGCTCAGATGTAGCTGTAGTAATAGGAATTGCAATTATGGCACCATGCCAGTAATCACTGAAATGGCTGCAGCCCAACCTTACACCCTCGTCTTTCCTCATTCAATCATGGTCTATAGGTTTTCATAAAGCTTTCCATTAATATTTTATACTGGTACTCAGCAAGAATGTGCAAACACAGCAAATTATAAGTGTAAAAAAATGGATAGTCCCTTAAGTGCTAATTCTACTATGTAAGGTGTGCATTAACACAATAAACAAACAAAAACTGATCTGTTTGCATTTACATATGTTGGTGGATGAAGGACAATTGAATGTGTTGGATCTGCTCTTACTGTTTTCTGATAGCAATTTCAATTTTCATTTCCATATTCCAAATATCCATATCCAGGTTTTCCTAAAATGTTTTTTGACCATCAATGATTCTCTCATTGGACTGAATACAATTTCCAGCTTTCCCACACCAGCATGTTTCTTGAGATATCAATTACTCTACATCTCTAACAGTACACTGTGCTTATCCTCAAAGATGGTGCAACAGTAGAATAAAGAAAATCAATAATTGGTTGAGGGAGTGGCATCATGAACAGGGCTTTGACTATTTAAGTCATGGAACTAGTTTTGAGAAATCTGGTCTTCTGGGGGAGGATAGGGTTCATCTCTCAGAGAAGGGGAATATCATTTTTGGCAACAAGCTTTCCAGTTTAATCAGGAAGACTTTAAACCAGAGTTGTCTGGTGAGGGGAACAAGCATGAAGAGTAGCAGGGCATGTGCATACCTACAGGACTATGATGTCATTGGCATTACTAAGATGTGGTGAGATGGCTCTCACATCTGGAATGTAGGAGTAAGTAGGTATAAACTCCTCAGGAAAGACAGGCAGTGAAAAATGCCAGCTGGAGTCCATTGTGTTCCACTTGGTCAAAGACAAGGATATCCATCATATCTGAAAAGTCATGGTAGTCTGGTGAAGTTCCCACTGATTGGAAAAGTGGAAACATAATCCGTATTTTTAAGAAGGGAAAAAAAAGAAGATCCAGGGAACTACAGGCCAGAGTAGTCATCTCTGTGCCCGGCATGGAACAGATCCTCCTGAAGGGCCTACTAAGCCACATGGAAAATAAAGATGATGTGATTGGTGGTAACCAACATGGCTTCACCAGGGCAAGTCATGCCTGACAAACTTTGTGGCCTTTTAGGATGGAGTAACAGTGTCAGTGGATAAAAGAACAACTGACGTCATCTACCTGGACTTGAGGAAAATGTTTGACACTGTCCAACATGACATCCTGGTCTTCAAACTGGAAAAAAATGGATTTGATAGATGGATCATTCACTGGATGAGCAATTGGCTGTATCGTTATACTCAGAGTTGTGGTCAACAGCTCAGTGTCCAAAAGCAGACTGGTGACGAGTGGCATTCCTCAGGGATCAGTGCTAGCACTGGTGTTATTTAATCTTTTTAAATGACATGGACAGTTGAGCACATCCTCAGAAAGCATGCAGACGACACCAAGCTGAGTAGCGCAGTTGACAAGCTAGAAGGAAGGGATGCTAACCAGAGTGACCTTGGCAGGCTTGAGAAGGGAGACCACACCAACCTCAAAAAGTTCAGCAAGGCCAAGTGCAAGGTCCTACATCTGGGCCAGAGCAATCTCTCACACAAATACAGGTTGAGAGGAGAATGGTTTGAGAGCAGCCTTGAGGAGAAGGATTTGGGAGTGGCGTTTGATGAACAATTCAACGTGAATTGGCAATGTATGCTTGCAGCCCAGAAGGCCAACTATATCCTAAGTTTCTTCAAGGGAAGAGTGATCAGCAGATCAAGAAAGGTGATTCTATCCCTCTACTTTGCTCTCGTGAGACCCCCGCTGGAGTACTGAGTCCTATTCTGGAGCCCCCAACACAAAGGACATTAAGCTATTGGTGCAGATCCAAAGGAGGGCCATAAAGATGATCACCTGGAGCACCTGATTACTGGAGTACCTGCACTATGAGGACAGGCTGAGAGAGCTATATTTTATAGCTTTTGCTTAATAACAGCAGAACACCAGCTGATGAAGCCATTTATTAAAGGCTACAGTCTTAGTAAAATTCTTGATCATTTTCTCTGTTGTGTTAATTTACTTATGAAGCTCTTGCTAGAAATAAAAATAAAAAATTACGATTATATGAATGCAAAAGGCTACTCATTTATGATCCATACATGGATCCCAGAAAGATACCCTCTCTCTTTTTTACCTCTTCAAAGCTAATTTTCTCACAAAATATTCTTCACAGAAAGTATTAATAGTGTTCTCTCCCTTTACTGTTTTTATACAAAAGAGAGAGTAGCATTCTCTGATGTGTATCTCTGTGTTTTGTACTGGCTGCCCATTTAGATTTTTAAGCTCTTTAGGACCAGAATTACCTCCTTTTTTTTTCCATATAGTTAATGATGAACATGCTGTGGGAGCTTTATACATGTTAGTGATAGCATAGACCAATTATTTTGATGTGCCTGACTAGTTAATCAGAAAACATTACTCAAAATGACTACAGATCTGACTCTGAAATCTCTAATCAGTCAAAACACCCATTATCATTCATATGACTGTTAAAGTGAATAAAATCTGAATAGGGATATTAGGAGCTAATTTACTGTTTTCCTTTGAACTGCATTTTCATATAGATGATGATTACTGATTCTTTCACATAAAAGTTATTTAAAAGAGGACATGGCTATGGTAAAGTTTCTCAAAAGGTTTAAAACTGCATAACATTGTTATTCCATTATATTTACATTTAGACTAGTTGCAATTTGTGAAATGCAATTGGCTGTCAGAGACCTCTCAGACCATTTTAGCAACTTGTACCACCTAAAGAAAAATACATAGTTAGAAGTGAAAAAAGTATTTTTTTCAACAGTCTTTTAAGGACTTTGCTCAATTCA